GTGGAAACACAGCAGGCAAAAGTTCCCACGTAGAGTAGCAGCGGGATAGCGTTCATGAATAGGATGCGATTGGTAGCCCGAGCAATAAGGCGAAACACAATCCTTTTTTTTTTAAATAATTAAATTTACATTTATGATATGTTATTTTTTCCCTAATTTGTTTTGGTTCTTTTGTTGTAAAAAATGGCTCTTTCAGTATAGTAATTTTGTAAACATTTCTTAATTTTCCAATTTGCGATTGGTCCTGTCGTGAACGCCATTAGAATACGTAAAATATGACGTACGGTACTTTATCGAAAGGGACTCCGTTTGCAACAGTTCTTTTTATTTTGAGATTACTTTACATTTCAGGTTTTGTTATTTTCAATTATAATTTCCGTTATTTTCCTTTTTGTCATTAAATTTTATGAAAAAGTCAACTGCAGTTAACAGTTGTTGTTATTTTTTTTTTTATTTATTTTTTTTTTTTTTGCTTTTTGGTCTAACATGGTTCGTGTGCTGTGTCATTACTCGTAGACATTTCGATTTATGTAGAGTTATATGCAACCAACAGGTTCTCGTCTGATCACTTAAAAGCAACGTCGTGCCCGGTTAGTAGGCCTACCTGGATGGGAGACCGCTGGGAATACCGGGTGCTGTAGGCTATCATTATTTTTTTTTCTAAATTGATTTCTGTGATGAACATGGGTTTTAATTAATCATCTCTAAACATGCACAGAACCTTTGGTTTTTATTCCGGTATTACTGATGGATACTGGCGTTTTATCAACGCTAGATCCAAGCTTTGACCAATAGGAGCGCATGGAGTAACATTGTAATATCAGTCATGAAGCACAATGACCGAACAGTGGTCATTCCTCTATGAGCATGTACTGGTGTAGGCCTACTCAACATTTTCTGTTGATGTGTCCAATTATTATAAAAAAAAACCACAGTCACATCAGCCCTCAACGCCTATCCAGACATTTCGCGGACAGATTCTATTCACCTGTTGAAGAAGTCGGAACCAAGCAAGTGGCACACGTTAAAACACAGAATTTAGCAAACAACAATATCACTAGCTCCAGCCAATATAGGCCTATGGAGCAATGTGGTCCTTCTGAAGATTTTCAAAGAATTTTAATTAGACACCAATTTTTATAGGACTATATTAACTGTGTAAGTTAAGTTTTATATGAGTGACAATTGAATTGTATGTTTTTAGGTGCAATTTCAGTATTAGCAATGCTAGCCCTAAATTACATCGATCTTACATACATTATATAGAGTAAAACTTTCATAACAAATTGTGTGTTTCATGACTACTGTTGAACAATTATCATGATATTAATATATTTCCTGAGCTGAAATTGATAATTCAACAGAAACGGTAAGTTGCAGACGAATGGCATGATAATTATTAATAATTGACCACTGTACATTGATGACAAAAACTAAAAACCAGTTAAACGTAAAGAAATTCTTGAATATCTTTGGACTTACTTCAAATAAGGTCATTGAATAAATTAGTACGGACTAATCAAATTAATGATTACCGGTATGTTGCTAAAATCATTATATATATATATATACTGTCTCTTATACACATCTAGATGTGTATAAGAGACAGCCCCCACCCCCCACACATTCTAGATACGCCACTGCAAGAGTTGTCAAGTCCGTTAGTAAGAATAACATTTACTTACACAAATTCACAACTGGACTAACTAAAAGAAAAAATTCAGAAACAATACCAAGTTGCAAGTACTGCATGTTGCCTAGTGACTGTGAATCAGTGAGGAACGAATTCCCACAACTTGGTTCCCACGATACTCTATTGCGAGAAAGCAAACACAAGGCCAGTCACCCACGTAGTTTGATTCTTTGTACACCACATTCAGGAATGTGCTATTGCATACTGCTAGGGGTGGTTGTGCTATCCCAGAGGATTTGTTAATGTGGTTTGAGTTAAATTTGGTGTTATGATTTCAATTGATTCTTTGTTACTGTGACGTATGCATAAATTCCTGTCTCTTATACACATCTAGATGTGTATAAGAGACAGTATATTATATATATATTAAGGCATCACCAGCATTGTTGTTTTTCAGTATTTTTGACCTTTAATTTAAATTTATATTATTATTCATATTCAAGCAAGTGTATGCAAATAGGCCTAATAAACAAAATTTATGATGAGAACATGTTTACATGGACAGAAGAAATTTAAGTTCAAAATTGGCTTATACCAATAATATAGGCTACCAAAAGAAACAAATCAAACAAAGATTTGTTTTATTTATATTTTTGATAGTATTATTTCTCAGATAATTTTGTAAGTCCTTAAAATGCGTTCTATTTTGTATTTTTATTGATGTAAGAGACTGTAACTTTATTCATTTAACTTTTGATACTTCATTAAATACAGTAATGAGATTTCGTTTGAATAGTGAGACTAATCAAATGAATATCTTGCTAAAATCATTTGGTTCTGTCGGCTGGGCGTTGTGGCGTGCGTCTGTAATCCAGTGACTTTGGAAGCCGGGGTTGTCGGATCGCATGAGTTCGGGGCTCCTGCTGGTCGTTGTGCTATGGCGATTGGACGTCCACGCTAAACTCGGCGTCGATATGGTTGGACAAGTGGAGGCATGGACGACCAGGTTGTCTAAGGAGGAACGTACTGGCACAGGGTGGAAACACAGCAGGCAAAAGTTCCCACGTGGAGTAGTAGCGGGATAGCGTTCATGAATAGGATGCGATTGGTAGCCCGAGCAACAAGGCGAAACACAATCCTTTTTTTTTTTTTTTAAGATTACTGGTTATTATTTCTTCAAGTTGTTTTGGTTTTTATGTTGTGTGAAAAGTGGCGTTTTCAGTATTGTTATTTTGTAAACATTTCCTATTTTTTCCATTATGTAATTGGTCGTGTCGTGCGCGCCATTAGAATACGTGAAACATGTACGTAAGGCTCCTTTATCTAAAGGTTTAGATTACTTTATCATCTCAATTTTTGTTACTTTGCAATAGTTAGGCCTATATTGCCTTCTTTTCTTTTTCACCGTTTTCCTTTTTGTTACTTAAGTTTTAAGGAAGAAAACTGTTAGATGTTTTGTGCTTTTGTTTTAATATGGGTACCTGAGTGTGTGTGTGTGTTTGTGTTATGTGTGACTAGTAAGGCATTTCGATTCATGTAAGTACTAGGCCTGTGTATAAGCGGCGAATTGGGCCCCAACAGGAGGGTTTTACAGAAACATACCACATATGGCCTAAGTCCGAAATGTTATGGCGATGGCACTCTGTATTCCTGGAATGCCACTCTCTAACTTAAATTTGAATGCACTGCAGTACTTTTCTTTTTCAACTGTTTTTAAAATTAATTCTGCAAAGGTTAGTGGTGGATCCAATGGTGGAGGGGCGGGGGTGGGGACACGTGTGCACGTGCTCCGTTTTGCCACTAAAATTTTAAATTTCAATGCATCATGGTAAGCGCTACCCACTTATCTATTGTGTGAAGATGTTGTACGGCACCCCACCCCACTCCCTCGTTTGAAAAATTATGGATGATCCCTTGAGATTCAAGATTCAATTGTACTCACATAATGCACGAAAATTTGTTTACTATTTATCTCTTAAGTGTTAGATTTGAAAAGAGCAATACAATAGAAGTAGAAGTAGATAACTGACTTTATAAAACTGATTAAAAAAAAAAAAGATGGCGTTTCTTTGTAGCTTACTAAAAAGAAACTAGGCGTTGGTTTTTGAATAGATGCTTTGTGTGTGCTTTTTCTAATTAATGTTATTATGTTAATGATTACACCGAAATATTTGTGCTCTGTCCTAACCTGACATGTAGGCAGGCTGTATGAAATAAATTGCGACTTAAGGTCAACTCCTAAATTCACAGATAGAGCAGTATCATTGAAAAAATTCTGCCAAAAGAATTTGTGTGTTATATTCGAACGTACACTTTTGTAATAACAGTAGCACACGACGTCAAGTGACACGGTGCGTCCAAAACAAAAAAAAATTCAAATAACTAATGAATAAACTACAACTAATTACAAACATAATTTGATCAGAAATAGATTAACTATAGGATATGAGTTCAAAAAAAGACGAATTAACTAGGAAATCCCCAGCCCCCACCAAACATATTATCCAAATTGTGGATCAATCCAAAAACATCAATCTTACAAAAACTCACAAATTTACAGGTAGAGAATGCCTTGTCCATGCCAATTTAGCATATTACAAAACCAATCAAATTAGTTACAAGTTACAGAACTCTTTTGCTCGGATATTGTTATATTTACATATCATAAAAAGAAAAAAGTGTTCAAATCTTCATGACCTTTATTACATAAGGATCCATCCAGATATTGCCATTTAGCAACTCTACTATTAAAAGGAAGAGTGTTTGAACGAGCTTTGAATTTCAGGTTTACTGCCAGAAAGTCTTGATTGTCTAGCAGATATTTCTCTAGAAAGTGCCCTGATTTACAAATAATATATTCCTTAAGGGAATTTTTCTTAACTGCTTCGTCATGTAAATTAGCATAAATATCCATATTCATAATAATCTCATTATATTTGGTTTTCCAATTTAAAACAATTAATATTAAGTAATTGTATCATATCACATTTACTGAAAATATTAGTAATGTGATACAACCATTTCCAACGCAAGTTAAATGCCTTATTGGTGGTTAATAAATAATTAAAAGCAAGTTAAACCATAACCATAAGTTTTGGCCATCCATAGATAAGAGTCGTTCAACGTAGTTGTGTTCCTAGAGCGCTTTTCCCACAGAGGATAGGTAGTACCAAAGCATGCTGGGATAGAATTCCTGTTTTTCAAAGATCGTATATAGCGCCACCGCTACTTTTTTTACTGTCATTTTTACAGTATGGCGTCTTCGTAACCAATGGATTCCACTCACACGGGCCATCGAGCACATAAACATACACTGTGAAAAATTGCTTTAGGGTAGAATTAAACATCGGGAACTGTGCACTATGGGAGATAATTTTGTGAAGAAGACCCAGGACACACTTGGGAATATAATCAAAAAGCCTCCTTTGACAGAGAAACTGTTAAATAAGCCACCGTTTCGTTTTCTACACGATGTTTTCATGGAGGTCAGTACCCCTCTACTACTACTACTAGGCCTAGTACTAGATTATGCACGGCGAGTTCACACAATACAACAATAGGCCTAGGCTAGGACCTAGGCCTAGTGAAGCTAGCTTAACCTAGTAGGCCTAGGTTAGGCTATGATTTTTTTCTACTCTAGAATTAGCCAGATAAGCAACGTCACTATACAGGATAGTACTTTCATATTGTTACTGTTCCAGGTACCGATAATATCATTATTTTAGGCCAGGCCTACCTAGGCCTACGTAGTACAACTACAACCAAGTTATGTTTTATGAAGAAGTAGGCCTAGCCTACGGCCTAGGCCTATAAAGCCCCATTCCCGGCAAAATTTCACTAAAAACTGACTTTTTTTAGAAAATATGCATTTGCATTACTCCAATTATTATAAATCATGGAAAAATATTGGCATGAATTTTAGTTTTACGCAAAAGAATTAAAAAAAATGAGAAATACAGTCTCTGACTATTTCTCATAAAATATTACCATTTTCTCGACGAATTCATCGTTACTAGGCAAATTCAGAGGTCGTAGATCGCATCCACTGGAATACTCTCGCTTTTATGTATACTTTATACAGTTAATATAGTTTTTGTACTTCGCATCTTGCACAATGCGGTCGTTCGATTAGGCTGAGATATGTTTGTTTAAGCGTCAAAATCTGAGTCTCAGCAGGGAGTTGTTAACTAATTAACAACTCCCTGGTCTCAGTCAGAATCAGTTTTTTAACAAATTTGAAATAATTCCTATGAAATATTATATTTCACAAGTGTCAATATTAGCAACGGAAAATATCATGTCTTTATGTGTGATAAGATAACAGAACTAAATCGAGGTAAGGCTACGCCTAGCCTAGCAGCGTTGGATAGGCTAATGTTTCGACGCCAACGATATTTCTTCTCACGACCTATAGCAAAATCAAACATGGAAAATTCATCCGCATTTATTTTTTGTGTGGAACACAAAAAATCAAATTTCAGTCTTATTTTACATTTTTTTCATTCTTAGGAATGTCTAAATTCAGTTAAACTAGCAATTCCGTATTATATTTATAAATATTTATTAACATTATACAAAAATTACATTTTTCTTAACAACTGAAATTTTGCCGGGAGTGGGGCTTTAATTATAGCCATAGTATTATAGTAAATCATGTTTTTAACACAGGAAACTCTTATATGGTAACTAAAACAATGCTAGTCTAGAGAACTACTAGTACTACTGCACTGTAATGCATAGGCCTATTTTATTTTTAATACTCTACTTAGCTAGGCCTAGATAGGCTTTTCTTTTTCCATCTTAATTTCAGAGGTCAAAAACATTTTTCAATTTTTTTCAATCATATAGGCCTAGTGGTGTAGAATAGTCTTTTGAGAAAAAATTAATGTGATATGACCCTCCGTTTATATGGAGTTATGAATTTTTAGATACCAAGGACAAGAATTCAGCCTCAAAGATTATCTTATTTTTGTTAGTTACGCACCACTGAGTTGTTTGTCATCACTTCAAGATGTCTACCGATTCGTGGAAAAGGCGTATTCCATCTCACACCCCCCCCCCCCCCCCAACCCACTTTTTTGCTGCCTGCCTCAGTTGTTGGTCTGTTAAATCAATTTGTTTTTTTGTTCTTGTTTTTGTTTTTTTTTGTCTTGTTTCATTCTCCGTTGTTTCTGTCTTTCTTAGTAATCTCTTTTTCTTTTCCCTCTTCGGGCTTTCCCATCACAAGATTTGTTTTTCTCATCTTATCGGGTCTGACCTTCTTCCTTTTACTTGTGTTTTTTTTCCAATTTACATAATTAATTCCTTGTATTAATAACTTAATATATAAATAAATTCTGTAGTAATTGTATTTTGATAAAAGGAATTGAATAAATGTTAATTTGATTTCATTGATTTGAATTAAACAAATTATATTAAACTATAGCCAGAAAAAAACATAAATTTTTGTTTTTGGCCGGTTAGTACACAAATGCTGTGAACAAATTTCAGAAAAAAAAATGCCATTTGTTTTTATCAAGGCAATTCATCAGAAGGACGCACATCTCGGGACATCAAAGGTTATAACTCTGGCATCGACATTCTAGGCGCACGTGCGTCCCTACACGCTGAACGTCACAAAAACCAAAGCAACCAGACCATAAACCGTCACCGTACGTGACGATTTATCCACGCACGTGTTAGTTGCCATGATAATCGCGCGTCGTGCGGTGATTACAAAGGACTAATGATATTTTGCACTAACATTAGACTGAAATATATTCTTCATTTCAACAATAATTTTACGAAAATTGTGGTGAATTGTCGTTCATGAGACTCACTTCGCAGTAAAAATTAATAAATGTCCTGTATATACTCAAATGTTCGTTTTAGGCACCTTCAGCCAACATTTTCAAAATGACAGATTAATATTACATAAGAACATGAAATTTTATAAAGTTCGTAAAATTTAAATTGCTATAACTTTTCATTTTCTTGGTCAATTTTCACCAATCAAATTGCAGTTTATAGAAGCATTATTTAACAAGCTCGCGGTAAAAAAAAATCAGATGTAACAGACATTGCGAAGTACCAAAAATTAATAAAATAAAAACTAACACCATAAAACGAATGGCACGCATAGACTAATAATTGACGGCTGTACTTGCAACTAGTACCGGATTGTCGATGCCACAGTAAAGATCAAAGGACTGTATGCACGCGCTATGTTCGAGAGCGGAGATGTGCGTCCTTCTGTTGAATTACCTTGTTTTTATTACCTGTCATGCAGTTGCACTGGAATATGAAAAATTAGTCTTTTTCTTCCTCTTTTAAATTGGTATAATATAATGCCATTTTTCAGTATGATACACAGGTACTGGAATATTCCATCATGAAATCCATAGCTCTCATAAACCTTTGTTCATTAACTATGATGTAATAATATGGTTATTTTTACACTTTCAGGTAATAAGAACGACAGGTTTCATGAAAGGACTGTATACTGCAACAGAAATGGACTCGCAGAATGTTAAGGTACTATGCAAGATTTAATAGAAGCTGGTCAAAATCACAATAAGACAAAAAGGCAATAAGTCAAAATGGCGTTACGAAACCAACAGGCTGCTTTCTTATGTTTAGGACTGTACCCAGAATGCAAAGTTACCATTTTCGTACTTGGTGTTGTCGTTTTGTTTAATTGTCATTTTGGTTACTCCCATTTTACTTATTATAATGGTTTAATAATTGTTTACCAATTTTCAATAATATTTCTTACTGCAGATATTTAAACAAAATAAATTCTTTGTAAGCATTTATAAATGATTTTAAGTAAAGATACTTAAGTTTTATTTTGTAAAAATGTTTTTTCTTTATGATGGAAATATTGTTTTTTATTGATGTTTTTAAGCTGTATCTTATTAGTTTTAACTATTTTCAAGTTATTTATTTTACTTTTTTAATTATGTTGCTCATGGTTCATTCAGATGAAGGTAACATGCTTGTTGTAATTATTATGTCATGTTAGTTATTAGTTTAGTTATTTAGATTTATTCAGTTCATTCAGATAATAAATGGAAAATACAAAACGACAAAAATATAATACAAAACAAATGACAACATTATATGAATGAACCAAGAAATAACCTAAAAAAGTTATTTCCATTGGGGTCCTTAATACAAAAAAGAACATTACATGAATAATTTCATTAATTTGCACACAAAATGTTATCACACTTTCAGAAATTATAAAGCATTTTCTACTTTCAAGAATAAAATAAAACACAAATTATAAATACATGTATTATTTAACTCCATTTCTTAAAAATTATGATAAATATTTCTCTTCTTGTTGCCCCTCTTCTAATCTATATTTTAATAATAAATTAAAAAATATTAGTTGCACTTGCAGATTGTGTTTGAGGTTTGCTTTGGTGTTCTGCTTTAAGGTTTTCTACTGACATTATAAAATAATCTAATATGCATTTGTCAATATCAGTTGTGATTGTCTGATGCTTGTTGCTTGGTAACTACAGTATTATTATAGTAAATAACTCAATAGATACTATAAAATTGAGTCTCTGATAACTCCTTATTACTATAGTAGTACTTTTTGTAGGATTCCAGTTACTCTGTATAATTATTATCGTTATCTGCCATCGTCAATTATATATTTACAACTCAAGTATTACTGGGATTATAATGTTATATATTTTTTATGTTGTATCATTATTGTGCTAATTTATTTTTAAACCTATTCATAGGACAGAGAAAGCAAGGTAGCATTTCTTCAGAAGGCTATAGATGTCATAAGTGAGTTATTGTCAAGCATTTCAGTTCAAAGAATAATATAGTCAGCTATATAATTTTGTAGACTGGCATCTGAATAGTCATAATACGTATTATCTACATTACAAGCCAATTTTATAACTTGCCAAATTAAAATTATATTTTCTTAAATTTGTAAGTCAAGATGGTCCCTACATTATGCTTTTTTAAACTATGTATTTACCTATCATCATTCCTGATGATGACATAATTAATGTCGAAATATTGAATCCCAACACGATGGCGTGTATTTCAATACTTGGAGTATGTAGTATACTTTCTTATTTACCTATCAGTATTATTGATTATTTAATGACATTTCTTATGCACTTTTTTGTTTCATACTACAATATTGAATGAGGCTCTTGTATATTCATTTGCTTTTTATTGTCTAATATCCAGGCAAAGTTTGACATGTTACGTGGGTTTTAAATTAGCAACTTCAGTCATAAATATTTTAGGGCTTTAAATATTATCCTACAATAGAAATAAATAAAATTTCTAATATCCCAAATTTCTAATGATCCCAAATTAGCAAAGTTATTTTTTGACTTATTTTTATTATAATATTTACAAGATACAGTATACAAGATATGTTTATTGTCACTATGTAAACAAAATACAAGTCAAATTCGTAAGAGTACTCTTAGAATACATTAAACATGCCATGCACCCCAATTATATTCACATTATGTTTGTAGGTATGGTTACCGGTAAACCACTTTCAGTAAAAACGTCCAAGATTGTTGCAGGACATGAACCCGAAAAGACAAACGAAATGCTCCAAGCGCTGGCCAAAGCTATTCTTGATAAGGTAATGAATTGTTATTTTTATGTGAGGTGGGTGCTTTCCTTATTAATATCATCTTTATTTGTAATTATACAAAAGTGGTACTTTTATTACAGTAATATATGACATTCACTTCCAATGCATAATTAATGAGATTTTTATATCTACAGATAACAGAGAAATTTTGGGTGAATAGTCTCATTTGGGCAATACCAACTTCAGTCTAATCATTAATTAATTTAATATCTGCTGGTTGATAATTTTTTATTTGTTTTTTTTTTTCGGACAGTTGGATAGCAGTGATGCAGTCAAGAAAGTTCTGAAAGGCGAGAAGCCAAAGTCAAGTAAACCACCAAAACCAAAAAAAGAAGAAACAGATGACAGAAAGAAAAGTGGAGATAAACGATCACAAGACAATAAAGTAAGTCGATTTATATTTATTCATATATCACGAATGTAAATGAATAACCTTCAACCTTTACTGTTACTATCTCATGTATAAGACCACCTAAGCCTCATCTTTTACTTCAGTCCTGCTATTTCCAAGTAATTATGATCCTTTCTAAAGCTCTGGCTAGATTATCAAATTTTCTTTGACAAAAAACTGTTGTATGCCCATATATAGTCATGATGTACCTATATATGGTCATGGTGTGATGTCATTATGACCATATATAGGCATGTCACATGTTTTTGTAAAATAAAATTTGGTTGTCTGGACAGGACTGAAGTATAAGACTGCCCTCCGCAGTCCATAGTTTTTGGGACAGTGATGAATAATGCAAAGACCAGACCATGGAGAACATAGATTTGAAGGAGATTACTTGTTCTATACAACATATTTTCTAAACATTTTTCATATGTCATTTTCTTGCTGTGGAACTTACTTACTCATCTATATTTAGTAAGCAAACCATTTTTACAACATAAATTAGTATGTCAGACAAAAGCTTTCTCCTTTTATAAGAATGATACTAGTACTGTATTTTTTTTTACTATTTTAGGATCGAAAAGATAGTGCTGAGAAAAAAGGTGGTTCTGAAAGGAATGACAGCACAGGCAGGAAGGGAAGTGCGGATGATAATAAGCAAAGGAGTGGAAGTAAAGAAAGGGATAGATCAAGGGAAAGGTCAAGAGATTCAAGTAAAAATCAGAAAGAACACAAGAAAGATAGAGATAAAGAGAAGGAAAGGATAAAAGATGAAGATAATAAAAAAGACAAAGAATCAGAAAAGGACAGAGAAAGAAGAGAACGAAAGGTTCGCTGACTTCTTAAAGATACCATTTTTGTTGTTTAAAAAATCATCTTTGTACTTGATTAACATAAAGGTTATAGATATTAACATACAATTAGATGAATATTTTCCTCGCCAATTAACAGACTTAAAATGATACTGTTTCTCTATTCTTTTCATAGGCTCTTAATGGGCCATCATTATATTAAACAATTTAAAGATTTTTTTAGTAAATCAGAAAAGTCTTGAATTGCTTCCAGCTAGCTCATCGAAACTTCATAACTTATTTGTTCATTTTAACTAACCAACTAAATTATTTTTGTTTCAAATGTTTGTGAATTTTCAGACAGTATGTCTTCAAAACATTTCAGTTTGCAATTTACATTATAGTAAAATGTATATACAAATTAAGATATTTATAATAAGGAGAAATGGAATGAATGATAGAATCAGATTCAATTGCTAAACTTATAATATTTTCCTGTATTTTACAGCGAAGAAAAGAACTTGAAGACGCAGCACGTCGAGAGAAAGAGGAACAAAATGAGGGACAGAATGATGATGATGAGGTAATAATTCTTGAACAATTTTTACATGCTAACACTTATACAGCGTGTTAATAATAATAATAATAATACACAAGCACTTTTAAAGTGCTCTATACAATAAAGTCTCAGAGTGCTAGCTAACTGTGTATAGCTCAAGGTAGCACTTTAGTTGTTTTTTAAAGGCATCAAGAGATTTCTCTCTACTAATGAAAGATGGAAGGTCATTCCACAGAGCAGGAGTTGCAACAGCAAAGGATCTCAATCCATATTTGGTGTTGCAGATAATCTTTTTTTTTCAGATCTCATGTGATAAATATTGAAAGACCACTTAATTTGTTTAATAATGTAGAACTTTTTAAAATAATTTTTTTCATTGTC